GTCACTGTGACATGGGGATCTTCCATCACATGTTCTTTCTATCACATATTCTCACATCAGGTCAAACTTAATGCTAATGGCTACACTTAGAAAGTTACGTTTGGTTCATACTGAAGAAGATATTTAATGCTAGTGAGCATTGGTGTTGCTAAGGAGCCTTTGAAGGTTAGTGAACAGGATGTGAGCTGATGGGAACTGTACATTCAGAAAAGCTGTGGAAAATAAATAAAAAAATAAGGGGAGAGAGCTAAGATGAGGCTGTATAGTTCAGCTATAAATATAGATTTGCTGAAGATTCAGATCAATGACAACATCTAAAGAACTGGGTCTGGAAGTCAGGTTTCAGGAAGACTGTGAGATCAGTATTAGGTTTAACAAGCAGTTCAGGAAATTGATTATGGTTAGCGTCAGGTTGGGGTGAGGTTTGGGGCTGAAGATTACAGCAGAGTTGGATTTCAAGTCAGAAATAGGAAGAGAGCAATGACAGGGTGAGGGGCCACTGCAGGGGTCTGAAAGACATAGGAATGGACAAGTAAGGGCCCGGGCTATGCCTGGTGCCAGGATGGGTGTTTGAGGCAGAGGCTCTCAGGCAGAGCATTTGGACCCAGTTGTCATCATGATTGAGGGGAAGGGGAGGGCTGCTCATGGTGGTGGAGGCAGGAGCTAGGGGCACTAGATACCTTATGATGTGGGGAAGTCACTCTCCTTTCCCAAATGCCACCCCCTCCTGGGAAACACTGAGGCAAAGCAGGATGGGGGAGAAGGGAGCAGTTAATCGGCATTAGGTTTGAATCTCTGCTCTGCTGCTGTCTTCCTGGGTGGTCAGAGCCCTCAGTTTTCCCATCCATAAAATGGGATGATGGTAGAGACCTTGTAGGACTATGAGCAGATTGGTAACAAAGTTTGCAGATGGCCCAGCACAGGGCTGGCTCAAGGGGCTGCAGCTGGAGAGAGAGATCCTTAGACTGTGGGCCAAGCCGAGGACACAGCCAGGTAAACTGAAGCGCAGTCTGGGTTTGGGTTAGTTTGGGGCTGTGGTGCCCAACCATGGCCATGCATGAGAATCACTTAGGGGACTTTGAAAAATGCTGATAGTTTTTCTTACCTTCCAGAATTCCTGAGTTATTTAGTGTGGAGTGGGTCTTGGCAGCAGTAGTTTTAAAAGCTCCTTGGGCAGTAAGGGTCTTTTGTGGGGCCTGGAACTCTCACTCTTTAAATTGCTCTTCCCAGTAAAGCAGTGGTTCTCAAAGTGGGGTCCCCAGACCAGCAGCATCAGTGTCACCTGGGAACATTAACAGATGCAGATTCTCAGACCTCACCACTGACCATCAGAGGCTCTGGGGTGGGGCCCACAAATCAGCATTCTAGCACATCATCCAGGGACTTCTGAAGCCCAGTCAGGTCTCCAGGAGGTCCTCAAGAAAAGATGGATATGCTTCATCCTTGAGTAGTTCTCTACACCTCTCTCAATAACGGAGCCAGGCCGCATGAGCTGCGGAGGGAACTCCGGGAACTCTGTGCACCCTGATCACTGCTGTCTCTCCAGGGATTGGCCCAGAGCCTGTGTCGAATGACCAAACATGGAGAGAGAGACAGAACTGTCTCGGGTACTATGAACTTGGAGGGGAGATCCTGTCTTTCTCTTATTCTGTCTTGGTCCCACAAATTGTGAGTCTAGTGTTTCTAGTGTTTACAGATACAGATTTCTGGCACAACTTGGCTCTGAAATGCCTGTCCCTCCACCAGGTGCTCAGGGGAAGAGAGAGGCATACTTCCCACCGCTGATGGAGCACGCTCCCTGGCCCTTGGTCAGCATGGATTTGTGTGTCTCCAGTGTGGTGTGTGAAGGCGGTATGAGTATGCCACTTGACAGGCAATTTACTAGCTTTCTTTTAAACTTTTTATTTCAAAACAATTTCAAACTTGCACATACATTGTAAGAATAGTACAATGAGCTCTCGAATACCCTTGGCCAAAGACCCCATTCAAGTTTTGATAATTGTCCCAACAGTGGCTTTTATAGGTCCAGGCTCATGCTTTGCCTGATTATTAGGTTTCTCTAGTCCTCTTCATTCTATGAGGGATTGTCAAGAGCAATTTTGTCCTATGTAAATTTAATTTATGGGCAATTAATGTGATTTGTGAGTTGCTTCAGGATCCAGCCCCCATGTAAGAAGCCACTCCCTGGACATCATCTCAGCTGAACCCCCAGAGGCTCTAGGGTTGAGCAGGGACTATGAACCGACTCCTAAAGCCAGGCAGGACTCTGCTGATGGTGAAAGGTGGCAGGGGACAGAAGTCCAGTGCAAACTAACATAAGCTCAAAAGGGAACTGATTGGCCCAGCCAGCTAGGAGCATTCTCACCTCACACATGGCTGTATCTGGGGGCTCAAAAGATGACCTCAAGTCTCTTTCTCACACTCTCTGCTTTCCTCTGTGTAGGTGGAAAAGGCACCTCTGATTGCTCCCTGACCACATCAATTTCCCCAGCCAGGGTCAGACTGGCTGCACTGGGGTCACTGGCTCACCCCTTGATTAATGGGTTTAGTCCAAGAGGATGGGGGTACTCTGACTGGCCAGCTCCAGTCATGTGCCTACCTCTCGGGGCGCTGTCTGTGTGGATGGCCCTGCCCTATGGGAGAATGGTAGTTCTCCCAGGAAAAGGGGTTCTCCTCTCCTGATCAGTTGGCAAGTAGTCCACCTAGGGAGCTATTGTCAGAGTCAGAATAATAATAATACTAGCTATAGCAGTAGTGGTAACATTTATTGAGAGCTTGCTGGGTTCCGGGCAATGTTCTATGTGCTTTTTCTGTATTGGCTTATTTAATACTCACAACCATTTTATGCAATAGAAGCTACTTTCATACATGTTTTACATCTGAGGCAACTCCACAGAGAGGTGCAATCCCTTGCCCAAGGCCACACAGCCAGAATGAGCAGAACCAGGTGTCTCACATCTGCAGGCCTCACTCCAGAGCAGGTGCTGGTGGGCCCAGGCACACCCTCCGCTGATCTCCGTGGAGCTGCACCAGGTCCAGGCTGGGGCTGTCACGAGGTCCTCTGGCCCTCCTGTGCACCTGTGAGCCCCAGGGAGGAGGAATACCTCAGCGCAGATAGCTTATCAGAAGTTTGCCATTATCCCCAGATCTGAGAGCAGAGCCGCAGGGCACAGAGATCTGAGTGGGTGAGTTTAGAGCAGTGATGGTCACCCTGGCTGCCCACTGGAGTACTTACCAGAGCTTTAAGAAACCCCAGGGCTCAAGCTGCACCCCAGACCAATTAATCAGAATCTCTGGGCTGGGGCCCAGGCATTCGTAGTCTTTAAGGCTCCCCAGGTGAATTCAAAGTCCAGCCAGGGTGGGGAACAACTAGTTCAGTGGCCTTGTGGCTTGGTGGAAATAGCCAGGGGCTGAAATTCACCCTGTTTTGAGACTTGGCTCCATCACTGCAAGCTGTGAGACTTTGTACCAGTCACTTCTCTAAGCCTTAATTTCCTCGCCTGTGGAAAATGCCTAAGTTCCTTTGCCTTACACAGAGGTCGCGAGTGCTGGATGACACGATGTCTGTGAGGTCCCTAGCAGAGCTGGCACTTGGCTCTCTCCTTACTGGGACCACCCAGGAAGGCAGAGCTGCGCCAAGGACTCACCGTCATTGGGATGAGCCTGTGGAACAGACTTTTGGGGCTACTGGGGCCCTGGGATCCCAGGCCCACCTACGTTGGGTTTCTGCCTTCATCAGGGGGCTTGAGGCTTCTGAATGGGTGGAGCTTGGGGTGGGACTGGGTAGGGTGGGAACTGGCAGTGAGCGTGCACTGACCTAGCTTTACCAGCAGGTGGCAACAGACACCCACCCTCTGGAGGAGGGCAGCGGCCGGGCGGGAGAGGACTAGTAAGAGCACAAAGGTATTAGAGAACTTTTTTTTGAGTACTAAGTGTGTGCGATAGCCTTCTTTTCTTTCATTTCCATTTACTGTGTGCAGTAGTCCTTTGGTAGGTGCCATTACCCTCCTTTGAGGGGTGAACAAAGTGAGGTGGTTCTGGTACCTGGCAACCAGGTGGAACTGAACCTACTCAGTCTGACTCTGGATTAGCCTCTTAGCCACTGAGGTGATAGAAAATCAGAGCTTCAAGGGCCTTTGGAAATGCTCAGATCATGTGATTCCTAAACCTGTCTGATGATAAAAATCACCTGAGGCTCTTTTTAAAAACTTCCAAGGTCCTGGGTCCCAGGCTGGGCCCTGAATTAGAATCTCCCAGGAAAAGAGGCCTGGGAGTGTGTGTGGTTAACAAGAGTCTGTGTTTGGAAACAGGGCTCTGCTCTCAGAGAGGGAAAGTGACCTGCCCAAGGTCACACAGCCAATGCCCTCCAAGCTTCTAATACCCTCAAATCCAGAAGCCTGGCCACCTTGGCCATCCCCTGCAAAAGAGATGAGACAATATACTGTATGATCCAGCAATTCCACCTCTGGGTATATACCCAAAAGAATTGAAAGCAGGGTCTTAAAGAGATATTTGAACACCCATGTTCATAGCAGCATTATTCATAATAGCCAAAAGGAGGAAGCAACCAAAGTGTCTGTCAACACATGAATGGGCAAGCAAATGTGGTCTGTACATACAGAATATTACTAAGTCCTAAAAAGGATGGGAATTTTGACATATGCTACAACACGAGTGAACTTTGAGGACATTATGCTATGTGACATAAGCCCATCACAAAAAGACAAACACTGTGTGTGTGATTCCACTGATGTGAGGGACCTAGAGTAGTCAAATTCACAGAGGCATAAAGTAGAACCGTGGTTACTAGGGGCTGTGGGAAGTGGGATGGGCAGTTAGGGTTTAATGGGCACAGAATTCAAGCTCAGGAAGATGAAAAGAGGTCTAGAGGTGGCTGGTGGTGATGGTTGCCCAGTAATATGAATGTACTTAGTATCACTGAAGTGTACACTGAAAAGCAGTTAAGATGGCTAATTTTATATTATGTGTATTTTACCACAGTAAAAAAAAAACAACTGAAAAAAGGAAGGTGAATCAATCTGTGCCCAGCCCTGGGGGTAACTGATGAGGAGATGGAAGGTAAGTTTGATTTTCTTCATCTTTTGAATGTTTTGTGAATAAGTATTATGTGGAATTTGAGGAGTATTGCCAAATCACCTCTGTCCTAAAAGAGGATTGTACTACAAACAAATGAATACACTTTTTTCCCAATAACTTCACTAACTTTGGGTTTTATTATTTATTTTTTCTACTTAATGGGTGAGAGATAGTACTTCATTATTGTTGAAGTTTGCATTAAAAGTCATTAGATCTGAAGTGGAAGGTTCAGAATTTACCAAGGTCATTAATACCCTCAATGATTTTACCTGCCATATTAATCCCCAATTTATAGATCAATATAAAACACTTAATTTTGTTGTTAAAGCAAATCAATAAAACCACTAGGTCTGTTACCGAGAAGAGAAAGTGGCTCCTGCTTGAGTTTCTGCCTTGAATGTTCCTGCTTCCTCGGGAAGTCCAGGTTCTCAAATGGAGGAAAAGAGATGGAGTTGGGGGCCACCAATGTAAAAACTCTGATGATTTTGCTGTGCCACCCACTGTTCCTCCCTGTGGCTGTTCTTATGTGACCCCTAGGTCGCTGTCCTTGTGCTAGGACAAAAATGGTCAGTGAGAGTTTGGGCACAGATATCCCCTTTCCCCTGGCCCACCAAAAAGAGTCCTCTAATTGCCAGCTCAATTTCTCCTCCATCTCTCTTTCCTTCCTAGAAAAAAACAGATTCTTGTGGGAAACTGGTAATGGCTAATTCAGACTGGGTGTGGAGGAGGAGCATCATTTATTTTTGGTGGGAGAAGGAGTTTGAAATGACCAGCGTAGAATAGCTTTAGGTCAAGAGGAGAGAGGAGAAGAAAGGGGGTTTTAATCAGCGTGGCTGTGAACTGTGAATCCGAATCCCTCTAAAATCCTTTGAGAGGTGCGACTAAAGGATGAAATTGCTTGTTAATTACTTTATGCCACTGGGCTGTGTTTCTTGGGTCATATATCTTTCTGAGACTGATCCATGCAGACTGTGTTTTATTAGGGTTCCACCCTTGTTAGGGAAGACGTGGGCACACTCTGTTGAGCTTCCGACACCCTGACAGCCCTGCCACCCGATGTCAGGGCCACACCCAGGACCCCATCACCATCCACATCTAATCTGCCTCTGAAATTGTAATTCAGGTGCCCCCTTTTGGACGGCAGTCTTCCCCTGTCGCCTTCCCCCACCACGCCTCTCCTTTGAGTCCACTGGGGCTTCCAGCCCCTTGACTCCAGTTCTTCTGCCCGAGCATCCTTTCCCTTTCCTCTTGGTGATGGCACCCACTTTCTCCTTGGAGGAAAACTCATTTTTTTCTCCTATATGGATAATATGGTTCAAATGAGGCGGACTCTCCCCTCCGCACCTCCAAAGGCAGGCACATCAGGGCAGTCCTTTTTCAGACCACTGGTCAGAGCGATTGGTCAGGGATGGGCATGTGGTCCCAGGCAGGGTGGGGAGCGCCAAGCCCAGGACTGCTGCTGGGATGCCAGAGAAGGTCTTGCTGGGGGCCTTCCTGGGGTCGGGAGCCTGTAGGTAATGAGAAAAGATTACTAGGAATCTACTAATAATCTTGTTGGAGTATCTGGAACTAGCCATTTCTGAAACCACCCTGGGTTTTTCAGATACATGAATCAATACCTGAGATTGATAAAATGCAAGCCAGGGTGGCATTTTATCACCTGAAACAGATCTGACTGTTCCAGTATCACTCCAGCTAGGCTCTAGGTCAGGGGTCTCTAAATGTGGTTGCCCATCAGAATCACCTGGGAAGATTTTTTTTCCTAAAATCTTTATGTGAAGGATAACATAAATGTGCAAGTTAATGCATTATTGTAAAGCCAACTCCCGCACAGCCTTGATGCCGGGGTTCTTGCTCATGGAGCCGAAGAGTGAACTTCGTGAACGGTCAAGGTAGGAGAGCAGGGCAGAGGCTTTTATTTAGAGAGAAAATGAAAAGACAGAGCTTCTGGCTCAAGCCACGAGGGGACAAGAGAGCCCCGGGGTGGTGCGTTGCCTAGGGGTTTTATAGGCAGTTAAGAGACAAAGGGCTAGGGATGTACACCTGCTTAAGTGGTCCCAAATACCTTTGAAGAAACACTAAGTTTCTTATTAGTCTTCTTGCTTATTTAGAAGAATTTTACTGCTCTGATTTCCTCCCAGGATAGCAGCTTCCTGGTCTGCGAGTATATCACTCAAGGCTGCCTGCTTTGCTCCCAAGGTGGGCTGAGTTATTGTCTTAATTTTTAACTAACTGGGTTTCAAGATGGAATCCTTCCTGTTTTTTACTATGTTCTTTTGGGCTTGCAGTAGTTTTGGGCTTGCTTGCTACATTGCCCAAGTTGCAACAAATCATTTGTTTAGGGTTAGAGGAAGAAAAGCAGCACTTGGGTAAAGTTAGAAAAATAAGCTGGGCTCCCCAGCAGGCCAAAGCAAATTTCACAATGGTTATCTTGCTTTGTTTTATTCCAGAGGCCCTGACCCTACTCTGTCTAAGCCCACGGCCCCTGTCTCAGACTCATCTATCTCAAGAAATAAAACACTGTTGGGCTCTAAAGGTCTCAGCCCCTTCCTGCCTTTTGCGGGCTGCCACCACCCTGCCTTCTATGGCGATCACTCCCCTGCTTTCCATGGTCATCTTCAGCGTGGGGATGCTTCCTGCTGGAGGAGCTAATCGACAGCATGTGACTCCTGGCTGACCCTCAAGCTGGACTTGGGCAATGGGAGGCTCCTCACCCCTCCGCCGCCCTTGCAGTCTTCTCCCTGCCTAATGTCCCCACAGCCCAGCTGTTCCAAGGGCACAGCCTTGAGAGAGTAGGTGTTGCTGAGACCATCTGGATGGTGTATACGACTGAACTGAATTAAGCCTTCTATATAAGCTTTCAAAATTCTTTCAGGTGGGTGTGGAGAGCTACTCATCCTGCGGCCATCCAGGACAAGCCTCAAAAGTAAGTCCCTTTCTTATCAAACCTGTCACCTACCAATCTGGAGTGGCCCGCCTCTTTCTTCAGTCTTCCCTTGCTTTCTGTGCACAAGGGTCAGTTCGCAAACTAACACTTCCCTAAACACTATGGTGTAGTTTTGCCTGTTTTAGAATGTCGTTTCAATGGAATCGTTTATTAATTTTAATGAAGGTTGGTGTTTTTGTGTCATGAAAAGAAATCTTTCACTACCCTGAGGAGTTAATTCTCCATATTGTCTATCATTCTCTATCATCTTTTATAATCTTTCTGGTTCTGCCCTCCATATTTATTTATTTTTAAAAATTTACTTATTTTTATTGAGATATAGTTGGCATATAATGTTATATTGGCTTCACTTGTACAAGATAGTGACTCAATTATATACATTACTACATGCTCATCATAATGTGTAGTTGCCATCTGTAAACATACAAAGCTATTTGCCTTCCAAATTTAGGATGACAGCCTACCTGGGGTTTATTGTTTATGGTATGAGATAAGGGTCAAGTTTTGTTTTTTCCCCATGTGAACACTCAATCTGCTTATTGGAAAGGCTCCTCTTCCCTTGCTCTTCAGTGCCACATAAATCACTAGCCAAGTGTCTATGTTGACATTAGTTTCTAGTCTTTTCCTCAGGCTGTCTATCCCTGCACAAATATCACCCTTTCCTAATCACTGTACTTTTATAAAAAGTCTTGGTATTTACTAGGGCAGTATTTCCATATTATTCCTCTTCAGGAAGCTATTATTGGCCCTTTCATTTCCATATGTATTTTAGAGTCAACCTGTCATGTTCTATCAAAAAAAAACCCAACAACCCTATAAGGATTTTCATTTGATTCATTGAATCTATAGATCAATGCGTGATTCAACACTGAATCTTCCAATTCTTTATTTTTTTTTAAGGATGCAGCTATTGGGAAGAGAATATGTAAGATGGGGGGACCTAAAGTAATTTCTTTCCTCCCCAGCTTTATTGAGATATAATTGACATATAAGGTATATAACATGTTGTATAACATGTTGACTTAATGCACTTATATATTGCAAAATGATTACCACCAGGGATTAGCTAATCACATCTGATCATTTTGTTTTTGTGGTAAGAACATTTAAGATCTACTCTCTTAGCAACTTTCAAATATGTAATACAGTATTACATATAAGCACCATCCTGTACATCAGCTCCTCTTATAACTGGAAGTTTATGCCCAGAAAGTTTATTTTCCAATCCTTGAATATGGCATATGGTATATATTTATGTGTGTGTGTGTGTATGTGTGTACTCACACACATAAATGTATTTAATTTAAATTAGTGAGACTAAGCATCTTTTCATATGCTTCCTAGACACTTGGATTTGTTCTTCTTGTGAATTATGTATTTATATCCTTTTCCTTTTTCCCAGTGGGTTTTTACTTACCGGTTTGTAGGAGCTCTTTGTATAGTGTAGATATTAAATTGTCTCTTGCAAGATTTCAATTCTTGCATGGCTTTCAAATGGTTTTCTATTCTATTAATTCCTTTTGACTTTGGTTAAACGATTTTTTGTCACAAACAATTTACAGTTTTATGTAATTAAATGTGTCTACTTTTTCTCATAGCTTCTGGCTTTCTGGGCTGGTTTAAAAGGTCTTTTGGAATAGATATTTGTATATTCTGAGTATTGTGTACATTCATGCTTTTACATCATCTAAAATTTATGTTTTAGTTGGCTGTGGTGAGAGTATGCCTCATTTTCTTCCTGGAGGGATAGCCAGTCGAGTCAGCAGCACTTACTACATAAAGTACCATTCTTTTCTTACTGAGTTGGAATTCCAGCATTGTTGTATATGAAATCAAATCTATATTGGGATCTGTTTTTGTGTTTTCTTCTGCTTCACTGAACTTTTCAACATTTCTCGACTATTCTTGGAAAAGTGTTGGCAGGGGTCAGAGTTCTGGAAAAGCCCATCTTCCCCATGTCCTTGGCCAGACCTGAAGGGTGGGTGGCCCGGATTACTGCATACACCTGGCAAGACTCCCCACCCCTGCATCCACAGGGCTGTTGCTGCATTGTGTTTATATACACTTCTCTGTGCCCTACTTTTCTCCCTGCCAGCCTTGCCAGCCACTCAGTCCCACCACTACTCTGCTGCAGCCGCCAGGACTAATCTCATTACACACTTTATCCCTGTTTACGGTCCCTAGTCAGCCACCTTCCTAAATCTAATCCCCATCTGGCCCTACTTCCCTTCTCTCATCCTGTCTCCCACCCGCCCGCTAACCACTGAAACCCTCCAAGAAGCCCCCCGAGCTCAGGCGCGGGAAGGGCCCCAGGGTTTGTCCTTTGTCTTCTGTGAGCAGTTCCTTCACCTTGTAGCTCTTCTGGGAAGCTGGCTCTCCCGAGGACACGGCTGCCCCCACCACAGCTCAAGTGGTGGCTGTCTTCTCTCCCTTATTCCTCCTCCCGCTGGGCCAGGCAGTGGGGTTAGGTGACCCCCTTGCTGCACTTCTAGAATGTGCTCTTCCCCCTTCCCTCAAAACTCCCAGCTTTAAATCATGTGGTGTTTAACCACTGCTGTGGCGGACATCTACTGACCTCTGGGCACTCCTTCCCATTCCTTGAAGAGTTTAGCTCCTGACTGACTGCCCTCTCCGACACCACTGCTGCCGTAATTCTGGACGTGTTCCGGTCCCTATAAATGGTCCTTCCCGCGCCCTGAGCTTGCTCCGCCTGTGACCTCGCTCTTCGCCTGGCCTCAGAACTCTCTACCTTGGTCAGACCCGAGGCTTTTCTGTTACAGTGACAGGCCTCTCGCCTTTGGGCCTGCTCTTTGTTGGCTCTGCCTGAGATCCGGGCTGCAGGTGTCCTGTCTCCACTCACCTCCCTGTTCCACTTGGGAGAGGTATCAGCAAATCGAGCCCCGAAGGCCCTCTCTCTCTCTTTCTCATTTTGGTAATTTTCTTATCATTTCATACTTATTGTAGCATGAAAATGAAATGTTAGACAACATATGGAACTTTCTTGTATCCTAATCCTTCATTTACTTCATCAATTCATTTCCTTTCCTATCCAGTTTATGAAACATGATGTATCATTTCAATCAATTATTTTCACAATCAATTCTTGAACCTATTCTTTTGCCACATCAGTCAACTCCAAACCATCTTTCTTTACTTATTATTCTGGCTGCTAAATGCTGCAGGAGAAAATCTTACTGCCTTACACACTGATGCCAATGCAAATGTGTGTTCTCCAAACTCAGTTGGACATCTTATGCTGTCCTGAATATCTCCTTCAGATCTTCATATAAATTATCATAATCAAGCCTTTGGGCTTCCACATTTAATTTTTTCTAATACCATGGACGACTATGCCAGCTAAAAGTGTTCTGCTCGCAGAGGCATACTAAGTGTTTTGAAAAAATATGTTGCAGATTCTTCCTTTCATTTATGCTTTTCCTTAAACTATGTGAAGTGGTACAGTAAGAGAAGGCAGGTTGTGAAATTTAAAGATACATAATGTAAACTCATAACCACTAACAAAAAAGTGTAACTAGTAAGAAGATATGCAGCCAGTGTGGTGCTTTGAGGCTTACACTCCAAATGCATATATTAGGGAAAAAAGCAATGATCTCAAAGTATTCTTTTTATCAAGGGAATAAAGGAGAAAATCCTGGGACTGAGGAGTCTGATTCCCCACCAAATCCTCTGTGGGATCTTTGGGCCCTGTCAGAGGCAATTATAAGGATTTGCCTAGCAAGCCTCATGGGGGAAAGCTGCACTTCCCTCACCAGACTTGGTGCACAGCAGGACATTGCAATTTTCTAAAGAAAGTTGCAGTCTGTGGCTCAGCCTTCCCCCAATCCCCACCCACCATCCATGCTCATAGGCTTATCTGCAATCCTAGCCCTAGACTATTTATTTGGAGGCCTTCTTACCCGGGAACTTGTTAGAGGCACTTTACCTTTCCACAGCTGCTCCTACCTTCTCTCCCTACCCCCAGCCCATGGTCTATGAGGAAGCAAAAGCCTTTTCTGAAGGTCTCTCCTCATAGGAGGACAGTTACACTCGTCTGAACTGCATCCATCTGACCCTTGTTTGTGATCATTCCACTGTGAAAAATTGAATATTCAGGAGCTTTTTTAAATCTTTGCTTCCACTGTCTCAGGAAATGATTAAAGACTTGCTTAGGATTTTCAGTCTTGTTGTCCTAATTAACCACCTGAACACCTGTCTACCTTGCAATGATCAACTCCATTGTTGCAGAAAAATGCACTTGAAATCTTCAAAACTCAAACATGATAAAAACTCTCAGGAAACTTGTCATCACTCTGATAATAGATATCAATAGAAATACTACAACCAAGATCATTTAATGAAAGCGTCTTTGGTAAGACTTGGAAAATGAAAGGGAGCCAATGCTCCTCACTTGTATTCAACTTTTTATTGTTCCTCAGTGAAATATAAACAAACAAAAAATGAAAGCATACAAATTGGCAGAAAGAAGTAAAATTGTCTTTACTCACAGATGATATGATTTTATGTGATAAAAATCCAACAGAATTTTCAGAGGATTTATTAGAATAAGTGAGATTAGTAAGTTTCCTGAATGCAAAATAAATATGCAAAATGTAGTTTCTTTCTTCCTAGCAATAGACAATTGGAAACGGAAAGAAAAATATAATTTATAAAAATGAAAATACCTAAAGTAGTTAAGGATAAATCATTTCAAAATATTTCAAGAGGTATTCAATGAAAAATATGACATTGTAGCAATAAAATACAGAAGATACAACAAATGAGGAAATACTATGTATCTATGGATTGGAAGTCTCAGTATTTTTAAAAATGGCAATTCTCCCTCAATTGCATCTATGGATTTAATATAAAAATACTCAAAATCAGAACATACTTTTTTGGTGGCAATTAACAAACCAATTATAGAATTTATGTGAAAATACAAAGAACCAAAAATAGTATAAGCAATCTTAAAAGAAAAT